AAGAACACACTTTTTCCCTCTTCTTTGGAAATCTCCCCCAATTTCATAGTAATTAGGTGCTCTGGTGCAAGACTGGCAGCCAGCCAGAGTCTTTTAGCAGTTTATCTTACCATGGAGAACATTTCAGGAAAGCAGGAAAAATGAAAATACAAGATATCCTTTCTCCTCCCTCTCCCCTTCCCTGCCCTGAATGGGGCTCCATTCCAGATTGGCCTGAGCCCTGAGCTGCAGCAGCCAGCTCAGAGCCTGGACAGACGCTGCCGCATTTTTGTTGCTCTGCTGCCTTTCTCTATCAGATGCCAAAGCAAACATCTCTCAAGCCTGCCCTGCTACTTCTGAGAACATTCAAATCCAAGATGTTTCTGTGGGGAAGTGTGACAAAGGAACCTGCAAATGGTCCATGCATCAAAGTGAGTCACAGATTCAGAATAAATGCAGCTCTGCAGCCTGATTGAGAGATGAATCCATCTCTCACCTGGGCAGGAACCCCTGAGATCCTTACTTGTCTCTGATCCTTGGACCCCTGCTCTGTCTTCCATCTTTACTAGCACATCAGGAAAACCTGATCAGTAAGGAAGGGCAAGAGAACATCATGGTCTCCCCCTGAGATTTGCTGGCTTTCAAATAAGAGACCTTTCCTCACTGGCTCACCAGAGCTGTGGTGCAGTGGCTCATTTTCTTTTACAACATTTTGCTCCGGATTCGAAGCCTCTTCTGCTTGTTCAGCCTGAAGGCTCAGCTTGGGCTTGAGACTGGGAAGTCCTGCTAAGTACAAAAAGGTGATTTGGTCAGCTGGAAAAGAGCGTCTGAAATAAACTAAAAGGCAGCTCAGTTGAACAGCTCCCATGCACACACACCCCTCTCTTTGCAAGAGGTCAAAGTGGGGCAATGGAAATGCATCTGCAAACCAGGAGGGATTCTTAGCCTGTATTCCCAGTTGAAAGCGATGGTTTTCCCAGTTACAATGCATGGCTGTGAAAACTGGACCATAAGGAAGGCTGAGCGCCAAAGGATTGAGGCCTTTGAATTGTGGTGCTGGAGGAGACTCCTGTGAGTCCCTTGGACCGCAAGGCGATCAAACCGGTCAGTCCTAGAGGAGATCAACCCTGACAGCTCTTTAGAAGGCCAGATACTGAAGATGAAGCTCAAATATTTTGGCCACCTAATGAGAAGGAAGGACTCCCTGGAGAAGAGCCTAATGCTGGGAACAATGGATGGCAAAAGGAGGAGATGGCAGAGGATGAGGTGCCTGGATGGAGTCACTGAGGCAGTGGGTGTGAGCTTAGGTGGACTCCTGGGGATGGTGGAGGACAGGAAGGCCTGGGGGAATACAAGGAATACAACATTCCTCCAGGCCTTCCATTTAGCCCACCATTCAGATTTCCCCACCCTCACCTTGCCCCAGTAAATAAACATAGAAATCTAGAGGAAACCACATTATATATATTTGTCCTTTGGCAAGCATTTAAGAAGGTCACATATCTGAATGAGCATCTGCAAAGGCCTTGTTCTCAGAGATTTGACTGTTCAGAATCCATGGATTTTCCTCCTCCTCTTTTGTTGTCTTGCTAGGATACCCTAACTGAAAGGATATAAGGAGTGGAGGTATGGTTTGAACATCCTCTGTTAGAGGTCAGCTAGTTCTCTGCAGCTCCCAGGGCTGCCTCATATGTAGATAATGGCATTGAATGAGCTGGGTTTGCATTTCCCTCACCTAAATTATGGCCTTGCGGAACCTCCCACTGATCCATAATGCATAATGCATGATCCATAATGCAATTTCTCTTCAGGCAATGGGATATCCCTTCTCAAAGCCATCCACTGCCTTGTCGTCATACCATGAGCCTGACCCAGTACACCAGGGGTCCTCAAACTTTTTGAATAGGGGGCCAGTTGAAAGGCTGCGGTGACCCTCGTGGGCCGGTGAGGTGGGGGTGCCTGGGGGCGCGGGCCGGTGAGGTGCCGTCGGGTGTGTGTGAGGCAGCATCGGGCACGCGCGGCGGTGGCTCGTTCGCTCGGAGATCTCCCAGCGAATCCAAAACCATGTCCGAGCGAGCGAGCGAGCCACCACCTCCCCCCCACCCCCCCCGCACAGCAAGCGTGTGTGCAGGCAGCAAATGGCGGCACAGGCCGGCTACAGGAGTGTTTTAAAGGACCAGAAAATGTGTTTGAAAGTAAAATCATACTCAAATTCATTGCAATTCCTCTTCCTTATCCATAACAAGATATTCTCTGGGCATGCGCCTTCTTACTTGAATGAACCTTTGGGGAAGTCTTTTTCTCCAATCTCAGGAGATCTAAGCTTCAGCAGTCCTTTTCTTGTTCCATTATATCTGGAGAGTGAGATCAGGAGAGAGTGAAAAATTGGAACAGTGCTCAGGAAAGAGATTTTGACCATCCAGGATGTCAGAAGGGACACAGATGGTTTGTACACAAATCCAAGAATTTTGCTCCAAGGGCAAAGAGTTTTTCAATTGAACGTTTCTATTCTCTCACCCAAACTGTGTTTTGATGTGATCTCCCTTTCCTCAGTGCTGCTCAGGGATCCCCTGTTAGATCCAGTTTTGTTAAAGCTGGAAAATGAAGCCTCTTCTGGGAATTAGAAAGTCTTCTTAAAAGCAAGGAACAGCTACACAATTTGGAGTGGAGGGTCTCAGTTACACTGAATACTCATGAAGATAATGAAGTCCATCCAAAATGAATGTGAAAATGGAGGATTGGGTAGTGCAAGCTATTCAAATGCACAAATGTATTTTTGAGTGATAGAAAGACAAGGTATAATAAAACAACTCTTGGCTCCAGTGTCATATATGTGTATTTCTTACATTTTGTTGAGAAAGTCCTAGTCTGCTCTCTGGTTTTGCTTAGAGATTAACTTTTAAAGACCCTAATAAGGATTTTTTAAAAAGTCGTATAAAGTCAGCTGCACCACTGTTATAATTCCAGGTGTATTTTGAACGTCTGCTCTTTGTTAAGAGCAACTAACAGTGCCATCAGCGTTGGGGGATTACAGGTATCTAATGCAAGGCAGAAACAGCACAGGGTGAAGCCTGCCTTTGTTCTCCTCCCCAACCTTCAAAACACGTTGGCCTGGCCATCGAATTTTCTTACACGGACTCACAAATGAAGGAGCTAGAGCATGGGTCCTCAAACTATGGCCTGCGGGCCAGATCCAGCCCGTCTTTTAATTATGTGAGCCGGGGGGGCGGGGGGGCCGGTCCGGTCCTGGGCCTGCCACCGCCTTGCCCATTGAGGAAAGATGACAACAGCTGGGATTGTTTAGTTAAAAAAAAGGCAAGTAAAAGGAGTCATGATAGAAGTGTGCAAAATTATGAATGGTCCCGAGAAGGCAGATAGGGATACCTGTATCTCCCTCTGTTGTCGCCTCAGAACTCAAAGAGGTCATCCCATGAAGGTGATTGGTGAGAGAATTGGGAGAGATGAAAAGCATTTCTTCATACAGTGCAGAGTTTATGCAATTCCCTTCCAGAAGATGGTCACCAATTGAGATGGCTTTCAAAGGGGACTAGATAAATTAATGGAGAAGGCTATTGATGGCTGCTAGGCTATTATTTGCTACCTCCAGTATCAGAGGCGGCATGTCTATGGGCATCAGTTGCTGGGGAACATGGGTGGGAGGGTGCTTTTGCACTCACGTCCTGCTTGCAGGTTTCCTGTGGGCAGCTTGTTGGCCACTGTGTGAACGGAGTAAGAACACAAGAACAGCCATTCTGGATCGGACCTGAGGCCTGTACAGAGTGGCAACCCGGCTGCCCACAGGATCCCTCAAGCGGGATGGGTGCAAGACCCCCACCTGCCCAAGCTCCTCTGGGACTTGTGTGTGCTGGCATGCTGCTTCTGGTGAAGGCGGCAGCCCATAGCCAGCAAAGCTAGTAGCCATGGATAGCCTCCTCCCTCACGAACCTGCACATCCAGATTGGCGGCCATCACCACTTCCCATGGCGGCTAATTCCATAATTTAAGAATAAACAGTGTGAGGAATTCTGTCTTAAACCTTCCCACAATCAGCTTCATGGGATGACCCTGGGCTCAGGTGTTATGGAAGAGAAAGAAAATGTCCCCCTCTCCATCTGCCTTCTCCCCCCCCCCCCATGCATTATTTTAAACCCCTCTATCACCTTTTTTCTAAGCTGAACAGTCCCAGTTCTTGCTGCTGCTGTTCATAGGGACTCGCCGGGCTCATCTTACTTTTGCGTGAGTGCGGTAAAGCTTGTTTTCCAGATCGGGGTGCTTCTCCCCTGCCCTCCGGACCCACTCCCAGCGCATGCCCCTGGAGCCTTTGCAAAGGATGGGCAACCGCTGGCAAGGCGGCACTGCCTCAGCACCCTCTCCGCCACAGGTCCACCCTCTGTGTTCCAGCTGCAGAGCAACCCCTGGCTGTTCTCAAGGATCCCCGCACCGTCCTGCTGGGAACTTTCCCCACCCAGCTTCCTTCTGAAGCTTTGAGTTGGCAACAGACCATCCTTGCCGCCCTCAGTCACTGCTGGAAGGAACTGCCACACTGGAGTCATCTGCAACACCGTGCCAGCTGGTCAAGCCGCTTTCGCTCCCCTCCCTCCCTCCTGCTGCCGCCACGCTTCCCGCCTGCCACTGCAGTGCTTCCCAACCTCCTCCACTCCTTTCTCACACCCTCACTTTGATGTGCTACTTTGAGCATATCAAAGCATCCTCTGCTCCTTTCTTTCCCCATCTGCCAGCATCACCCACCCCTCGTGCAGTTGCTGGCTTCCCTGCGAAAAACTGCTCAGAAGGCAGATTATTGGCAAACTTCCCAGAATGCATTACTCTGACGCCTTGGGGGCTGGTGATGGGGCACAGGGAGCAGCCAGAGCCGAGGCTGCCGTGTTTCTGTCTTCAAAATCCCAACACACACCCATCCAATGCCTTCCCTTTCTGAAGCACTTGTGGGGCATGTACTGCTACTGTAGTTGGGACCAAAAGAACCCCACACCTGACATGGATCACAATGCGTTTTACTCTAAGGTTGCTCAGGCTATGGAGGCAGCTGCTTTATTTGGCACGGGACTGAGAAATGCCCACTACACTTCGCAAACAACTTGCTGAGGCTATAAAGGAGGCAGCGAAAGCACTTCATGTGAATGAACCGCATGGGTTTGGTGCAGGTGAAGGGTGTGGAGAATAAAGCACCCGACAGCCAAGCACAGCATGACACAGTCCTCAGTCACAGACGTGTGGATAATGGTCCCAGAGGAAGTCAGCTATGGCTGTCCGTAGGGCTTGCGTCTCCCGATGCAAAGCTTCTCCCAAGTGGGGATTCTGAGGCTGCGGGGCGGCCTGCTGCCCCTGGAAATCGATGGAAACGGCATCGCTCTCGGACTCGGGCCCGGGAAGCTGGGCGTTCTCCTCCAGCAGCACATCTCCCCTCGATTCACAGATGTTGTGAAGGATGCAGCACAAGAGGATGACATCTGCTACAAGGTCCTCCTCCACATCCAGGAGCGTGTAAAGAGAGCACCACCGGGACTTGAGTCGCCCAAATGCTCCTTCTGCAGGCAATCTCGCCCTGTTGAGGTAGTAGTTGAAGTTTTTCTCTTTGGGCGTTCCTGGAATGCGGTAGGGTGCCATGAGCCAAGGCTGAAGCGCAAAAGTCTGGTTTCCCAGGATGACGGGGCGCACCGGGACACCATGAACCACAGCAGGAGGGGCAGTGAAGAACGTGCCCCTGGCTAGCCTACCAGCCACCGGAGAATTCCAGAAGATTGCGGTGTCGTGGTTCCTTCCGGAAACGACAGCATACACGTCCATGAACCTGCCCTCTGCGTCTACAATTGCCTGCAAAGCCATGCTGTAGAAACACTTTTTATTATGGAATTCTGGCCCTTTTCCCTCCGGAGCAAGGATTCTTACACGGGATGACCCCAGGGCTCCCCCTGCATGTGGAAATCCAAGCTCACAAAACCCTTGCTGGTTCTCTTTCTCATCGCCAACCTTAATGACATCAGCCAGATACAGTTCATTCAGGGCTCGCACTGTTTCTCTGAAAATCTCACAAGCTGTCGATTTCCCAACCCCGAAGGTGGTGCTGAGAGGGAGGTAGCCCAAGTTGAATGCAAGTTTGTACAGCGTTAGCGCTAACCGTTTTTTCACAGGGACAGCCTGGCGCATTACTGTATTTTGCTTCTGGATCATCGGGCCAATTTCTTCAGCAATCATGTCAAATGTTTTCCGTGACATCCGGAAACTTCCACGGAAACGGGAATCATCCCAACTGTCTAGCTCGAGCATCGAGGCCCACGCAGCTTCTGTGCGTGGAAGAGTCCAGCAGCGTGTTAAGCACATGTCTGTGTTCAGGTGCTCAGCCATCACAACGGCCGCAAACGCGGTGCGTGCTTGCTCAACGGCGGCAGACATTCTCCGGCGCAACCGCGTCAGGCTTCGCATATGGCCACGGAGCCGGTCTCTTTCGAAGCGGAGGACTGCCCCCTCCGCGGCTCCGATGGCGCTGAGGTGCTGCTCCAAGGCTTCAATAGCCGCCGTACGGAACCGCACACGCCACCAGAAGAGCTCCTCCGCCGAGTCCCGGTACTCGACGATGCACTGCAGGCTAGTGTACATGGCAGCCACGACAGTGGGGTTGTCGCCCATGCCTTCCTCCTCAGACTTGGAAAGCTGAGATCTGTGTTCCAGCTGCACAGCTGCAGCTGCACAGGCAAATCCCCAGCTCTGGGTGGAGGAGAAGCAAGCAGACGCCAGCTGTGGACGGGGAAAGGTGTGGAGGGAAAGGAAGAGGAGGGGGAAGGATGCTTAACAGGCTGAGTATAGGTGTGTCTCCTCTACTTCCTCAACCCCATTGACATCACTAGCATTAATAGCCATGATGGAATCACTAGCATTAACCTGCAGTGTTCTGCCCCATAACTTCTTAAAACGACCATGTTTGGTTGCTGCTGCGCACCGTCAACTGGTAACAGAACTACTGGGAGGTTAACAAGTCTCTCTTCTCTCCCTTGTGTCTGGGCTCCCTCTTCTGATGGGGCCCGAATGCCGTGCTCTCTATTCTAAGCAGTTTATGAGCTACAACAAGGAAAACGTGGTGCCTCCCATGTTGGTTTTGTTCCCGGAATCTTCAAAACATTCTTGAAGAGCCACACTGAGTAAGGCAGGGGGCAAGGGGTGGGAAAGGCAAGGGGACAGAAGAAAAAGCACAGAGTTATTTCTGCACTAAAAGCATAGTTCACGTAAACACCTACTCCTACCATGGCTGGTTAACAAACCATTCAGCCTCTTCTGTTGGGCTTTTCTGTTTATTTACTTCAGACATGCACTTGAGAGCTCTGTGGTTCTTCTACCTCTACAGAAGTGGAATTGTACTGACCCTTTCAGCAAAGGGGGGTACCCTTGCAACAACGGGAAGGGAAGGGGGGGTTACTTGGGTAAAGAGGGGAAAGGATGATAACACGTACTTGTAGAGTCATCCCACATTCTCAGTTTTCCACCTGAGCAGGGGAGTAGAAATTCACTGACTACACAGGAGAGTCTATCACCAGCTCAACACAACAAGCCACAGTAAACAACCCCTGCTATGTGACAACCCAGCATGATGGGTTATGTGTGGGTTGTTAATGATGGGGCCCATGATAAGATCCCATGACCACAACCTAACCAAGTAGTGCTCACATGATTACAGCTTAACCAATTAAATGCCTTTAAAAGATTTCACGCGGACATGGCTTGCTGTGTTCTTCAAACTTGGGTGGTGAGTCGCTACATACGAACAGAGAATTGTATGCTGCTCATCAGTTGTTTCACTGCTGCTTTTATTATGTTCTTGCTGTTTTGTTGTGTTTTTGTCACTTTTAATCTTCCAGCACTTTTATGCGTTTTGTTGTAGTATGATGATGAAGGAGGCCAAGAAATATTTTAATGCATCAATACATGTTTCACAAGGCTGCAAAGGTGACTGGCAAGAACAGTTAAAGGTGTGGGTGTGGGGGGAGGGGGTTGGATCACACTGCATGCCAGGGCAGCAAAGGCTTTTTGGGAACCAACAAGATGCCTTCCAGATGTGCAGAATACCAGCTCCTGAAATTCCCAGCCAGGCGTACAGGATCCTGGAGGGCAACATATCTGGGTTGAATCTTGAAAGGCACAGTCCTGTTAGGAAGGCTACATGGCACCATTTTGCTGTGGATCCCAATAACAATAGTAAAGGCACTGTATAAAATCTGTTTTATTTACTGTAGGTGTATGCAGGTTTTAATTGTGGACAATGTTTTTTGTTGTCTTGAACAATATGGTGCTACTGTACTTTGAAATGATATTGCAGTTTTCATTTTTGTTGCAGTTTCATTTGGTTTAGTTTGTTAAAGTGCACTGAACTTCAATTTGATGAAAAGGGTGGACTTTTTTCTTAATAGAGAATCAAGGCAAATTAGGGTTTGAAATTTTAAGTGTTTTAGTCAGAAGTAGTAAAGATAATAGATTTTGTAGGAAGATGTCATCAGAAGAGCAGAGAAATGAGGCAGGAAAGCAGAGGAGTTTGATGACTCTAAGTGCTAATGTATAAACCCAGCTGAACTGAGTGGGGCTTGCTTCTGGACAAATAACTATTTGTTTCTGATATGTTTCCTCTAAAGAGCTCAAAATACTCTACACATGGTTCTTCCCCCATCCCGCATTTTCTTCTCACACCAACCCTGCCAGGTAAGGTAGATTCAGAAAACAAGAGAGAGCATGCATGTATGTGATCAAAGAGCACATGAGTGGGCTCCTTGGATGTGCAGGGATTTGAACTCGACTCTCTTCCTGTTCTAGTCCAAACTACTATAACAGGAGTCCTAGTCCAGCATGCCTGAATGGCCCCAGCTGATGGAAGGCTGAGCTAACCACTACTCCAGACCGCCTTGGGCTCGCGCTGCACCTCCGCCCAGCATCGGCCCCGTGCGTCGCATGCGCTCAGGGTCCCCGCCCCGCAAAATCCTAAAGGCTGCACCCCCAATCCCCGCCATCTTCCCTGCACCCTAAAACCACACTCACCAGGAGTCCTTCAACAAGCGACCTCCGCAGCGGCTTCTTTACTTAGCAACTCCCTCAGAGTCTTTTTCTATGTTTGGCTGCACCAGAAATTCTCACTGGACCTCTCCGAGCCCAAATGGCATTTCCAAGATGGAGATGGAGGGAGAGACGCGGAAAGAAAAAGGGCGAGCGCGTTTTTAAGCAAATCAAGACCCACCAATCCACCCCCTTCTTCCCTGCTCATCGACCTGTCGTTCAGCCGGGAGGGCTTAGCGGTTGTGCTTTGCTTTTCCGCTCACCAGCATGTGACATGAGCAAAACCGACAACTCTTGCAACGGCGATCTGAACACATGGATGGAGCCAGGGTGGATGTGTTCAGCCATCGATTGCTTCGGGCTGGAAATTTGGAAATAAGGTCTGCCACGGCAGAATTGTTTAGGCCCGAGAAATCCCCCTTTTCGCATTTATTCCCCCCCCCCGCACCTCCTAAATTTTTAACCTGAATTAAGTCCCCTGCGGCTCTTGTGGATTTTCTCCCTGCCAGTCAAATGCATGGGAGTTGCATGGCCGTCGTTACTCGGGAGTAGGTCTATTCAATTAAATAACGTTTATTTATTTTTGGATTTATATCCTGCCTTTTTCCTACAAAGGGCTCAAGGCAGCTTACATCTCCTCCATCCACAACAACAACCCTGCGAAGTAGGTTGGGCTGAGAGTCTGTGACTGGCCCAAAGTCACCCAGTTGGCTCCATGGCTGAGCGGGGACTAGAACCCAGATCGTCTGAATCCCAGTCTCATGCTTTTAACCACTACACCACACTTCTAAGTAAAACAACACAGAATCAGGCTGCAGGTATTTTTTGTGTTTCCATGTGTGAGAAATCAAATGTTACTGTTGCTAAGTGTTAAGGGTGAAAAACAGGAATAGGACAGGATCATTGAAGTCTCTTAAGGCAAATGAGAATCAAAACATGTAAATGGTTGTTCTAAGAGTAACAATGTTTCTTATATCAAAATTCCCGAAAAATACCAGAAGGGATAAAATTAGGGGACAGTGGTTGTCAGAATCCCGGAATCTCAATTTGAGAAGAGGGAATAAAACTTGGGTTCGTGGGAAAGACCAAGCGTCCAGACCATCTGAGTCTTTATTGTTTTACCCCCAAGGTTCCCGCGGTACAATCACAATAATGCATGCATAACCGGGCAGACAGAGGTGAACTCTGCTGCCAAGCTTCAATACCATTACAAGGCATTTATAGGTACACAGGTACAGGGCAATTGATGACAGAATGCAGAGATTACAATAAGATTCTGAGGTCATCCCATACAGAACAGATAAAGAAATGTCAGTCAATCACACTGTAACTATGAGATTAAGATATTTCTGTTGTAAGCCGCCCCGAGGCTGTTGTAAGCCGCCCCGAGGCTTCGGCAAGGGGCGGCATAGAAATGTTATAATAATAATAATAATAATAATAATAATAATAATAATTGCCTGTATTGACACTCTAGTTGAGTAACTTGAACCCATCTCCAGGTCTGTTCAGACATGCAAATTCAAGCTACTAGAAACTATTCATGATAAGCTCAGACCCTTATCTCTAAAACATTCTGCATGATCAGGGCACATGAAGCCCTCTGGGTATCAAAAGATTATTGTAAACTGAATTCCAACAATGACTATTTACAATGTATATTTGGGCTAAAATGGCCTGTCTACTGTAGCCCACAGCTAAAGGTGAGAGAAAGAAGCCGGGGGGGGGGGGGGCATGCCATTTAAACAGTGACAGCTTGGTTTTGAGAAGGAAGACAGGATTTGATCCCACAATGCAAAGGCACACAGGAGTAATGCTTTTCAGACAGGATTCATCCAAATTTTCCCAACATGGTAAAACTGTCACCTTCAGTGGAGGAGAGCAGACAATGGATTACTTTACAACTGGCAATAACGAGGCTGGAGAAAGGCCTATTCTCATTATCTCATCCTCCCCACAAGATTTAAGAAACATTTTGGTGTCAAGTAAGACAGGGACTGCAGCCAAGAAATTAAAAGACGCTTGCTCCTGGGGAGGAAAGCTATGGCAAATCTAGACAGCATACTAAAAAGCAGAGACATCACATATATATACAAAATTGCATATAGTGAAGGCTATGATTTTCCCAGTTGCAATGTATGGCTGTGAAAGCTGTACCATAAGGAAGGCTGAGCGCCGAAGGATTGAGGCCTTTGAATTGTGGTGCTGGAGGAGACTCCTGCAAGTCCCTTGGACAGCAAGATGATCAAACCGGTCAGTCCTAGAGGAGATCAACCCTGGCTGCTCTTTAGAAGGCCAGTTCCTGAAGATGAAACTCAAATACTTTGGCCACCTAATGAGAAGGAAGGACTCCCTGGAGAAGAGCCTAATGCTGGGAACAATAGATGGCAGAAGAAGAAGGGGACGGCAGAGGATGAGGTGGCTGGATGGAGTCACTGGGGCAGTTAGTGTGAGCTTAGGTGGACTCCGGGGGATGGTGGAGGACAGAAAGGCCTGGAGGAGTGTTGTCCATGGGGTCGCAATGGGTCGGACACGACTTCGCGACTAACAACAACAAGAATTTTCAAGGCCACTTCGGCCTGTTGACCTCTTAGAAGGTACTGCGCACTCTTAATGGGCTTATGAATAGTAAACGACACACCTCTCATAGGTAATAGGCTCATTAGCATGAACATGGGATGTATGAGCGGGAGGGGGGAACATATTAAGAAGTAGTATGATATAGGAAGATGGGGAAGATGGTGACTTAGTAACCAGCCAATGGCGAAGCGGGGATAGTGTTGAGCATCGGGGAAAGGAATGTATAAAATCTCTTGTAAACAATAAAAGATTGCTCTTTGTTTCTCAGACTACTGAGGCATTGAGCCAACCTTTGCAAACGCTTTTTGTATGGAATAAACTGCTTGTACCTACTCGAATCCTGTCTCAAGGAGTTTTAACATGCTTGCTCTGTGACTCCTTAGCAAAAGTGGCCAGCCAGCTCCTGGCTTTCCTCCCTTACCTGGCGGACAGCAAGATCCATGGAAGCCCAGCAAGAAACCACGTAGGCTAACCTTTGAGCTTTTGGGGAAGATAAATGACACAGAAACGTATTAATAGAACGATATGTACCCAACTTTTGTTGGTGTGTCTCAATATTCAGAATTTATTTATTTATTTTAAACAGTTATATGTCCCCTATTTCACCCATGGCATCTCTAGGCAGCTAACATCAAATACTGTAATAACATTTGTTTTTCTTTTAAGCATCACATGCGATGCTTAATATCCTGACTTTCAGAGCGGTGGCAAACCCTGCCAAAAGAGCTTTGCAGTACCTCAAAAATCGATAAATTTAGGGTGCAATCCTATGCAAATTTAGACTGAAAAAAAAGGCCTACCATTCGCAGCATGTTCCAGCCAGCCTGTGTTGGATTGCACTTTTAGACTGCAATCCTGGCCACTTAACTGTGGAGAAGACTGCTTTGAAACATATGGCATATTCTTCTGAGTATACATGTTCAGGACAGCATTAAATATGCCACAAGGTATTAATATGCAAGAGATGCACATTTTGAATATATAGATTAATCACAACTATATAATTACACCATTTAAATGCCAACAATGAAGAAATAGAAATTATGAAAGATTTTGCACATCTTGGCTCCATCATCAACCGAAACAGAGACTGTAGCCTAGAAGCTAGAAGAAGACTGAGACTTGGAAGAGCAGCAACGAAGGAAATAGACTAAGATCAGGTGCAAGCAAATTTCACTTAAGACAAGGATCATCCACACTATTGTATCCCTGATCACTTTGTAAGGGTGTGTAGGCTGGACAACGAAGAAAGCCGATGAAGAAAATGGACACATTCAAAATATGGTGCTGGAGGAGAGCTTTGTTATTTGTTGTTATTTGTACAAACTGTAGCCATGCGGAACAACTGACAGACTCCGCTGCTGTTGCAATCGGGATCTTCCAGCCTTGTTCTGGCTTTGGAGTAGTGCGCAACTTGCTCAACAAAAGCAGTGCTCTGCACTGAGTAATGTCTGTCTAGAAGGGACAGCTGAGGTATGTGCCCCCATCCTGGTCACCAGGGATGTACCACCTGTCCGAGCACCAGCCTCCACTAGAGGTTTCTCCCAAACAGGTTCTGTGGTGTCCAGGACATCCTAAACAGGAATGTCTGCTGTATAAAGTGCAATTTTCATCCTGAGACTTTTATATAATAGAAAGGCATATAAAAGCTTTTAACAAATAAATTTCAAGTCAGAGGAAATACCGTGTACCAAAGACACAGTCACTTTCCAATGGCATGAATCGATGAGACCTTCCGTTCGCTATTCTACTCCTCTCTGAACATCAACTTCTTCATATGTTAAGAGCTTTCTATAAATTGCAGGTGGTTGTTTGGCTGTTTGCATAGAACTAAGAAGTCCTCCATTAATTTTGGGAATCCTGAAGCACCAAGTGCATGGACCCATCTGAGATGCAGAATGTATGCTTTATTTGAAGAGATTGCCAATGTACACTTCGAAACAGCTAGTATTTTCATATTGAATCTGCAAAAGGAAGAAATTCACGCACTTACCAAAGTGAGGATATCCCTGTCGGCCCACTGCTTCCAAAGAAAAGAGATCCCCGGGCTCAGGTTGCACCATACCCTCAGTTAGAGATGTGAGAAGTGAGTCAAGCCACGGCTGAGGGGCCGGACGTGCTCTCCCTCGCTAGCTGCCAGACCTGGAAGCGAAGACAAACCTTCTGTGTTTAGATGCGTGGAACCCAGTGCCATCCATTTGACAACTGGTGTCATTTATGTGGATTCTCAACCTACCCAGTGGTGAAGCTGTGATGGGGAGGTAACAGTCTGCCTGTTGGCATAGGGAAAGAAGACGCCTTTGGTATTAAAGCTATAGATCAGGGCAGTTAAAACCTCCTCCTTCTATTGGAAGCTGTAATTTTTTGGGGGTAGAAGTGTTGGGGGGAACTTCCCCAAATGCATTTCCTAAATAATGTGTTGAATCTTTGGAAAAATAGTTGGGAACAGAGGGCAGAATGGCTCTGAAGGATATCTCTTATCTGAGGGAATATGTACATTTTTATGAACAGCTTTTCTCCACTGAGAGTGAGGTCCGCATTCTGAGATTTAAGGAAATTTCAGGTATAAAGAATAATGGATCTAGTTTGACCATCTGTGAAACAATCTTGGGGATCTTAAATGCCAGATAAAGTATGGCTTCGGGATACTGCTTAAATTGTCTTTTGGAAATTAGATTAGAGGGAAGTTTTCCTCCTGATTTGATACAATTGATCATGAATCCCAACAATGCCTAAAAAGTGCTTATTAAGATTATGAACACCAGTAAAGAGTTTTCAGGCTCATCAATAAACAAAACAATAAACGTAAAGGATAGACATATCTTCTGTGGTATGAGGCACAGAATCCTGAATTTCCTTTTCCTGCTGGATGCAAAAGCAAACAGATCCAGACAGATGTTAAATATCATTGCAGAAAGCGGACAGTCCTGTCATTTGTCTCCTTCAAGTGGAAATATATATATATGCAGTTGACATTTAAAATTATCAAAAGAGGCCTTGCTGGTCATTCCAAGATAACAGAATGACAGGGGCAGAGCTCCTTGGTAGTGGTACCTTCTCCATGGAAACTGCTCCTCTGCAGTTTGGGGGGAAAGAAAATATGGCATATTTCAAACGCCTGCTAAAATGCATTTGCTTACTTAGGTTTTTCCTAGTGTAATCATGCTGCCCCTCCCCCCTTTTGCTAATTTTTTGCTCCGTTTTATTTTAATGGCAGTAATTTTTGACATTGTATTACAATTGTGCTTTTAATGTTTGTATGTCAGCCACATGGGAATTTTATTAAATTTAAGGGATATATAAATATTACGAAATAAATAATAAATGGTGGAGGAGAAAACTCCGTTGGTCCAGACCTGTGACCATACGTAAGTTCACATAAGCTGTCACATTCAGATTATTCGAGCATTGGAGGAGGTATCTCTGGACCCATCTCTGATTTGCAGCTTGTTGCCAAAGGCAACCTGAAGAAAGGTATTTGCTGAAGCATTTCTGTGAAATTCGTCTTGACACCTTCTTGTGCTGGAACAAAGAGGAAATGTGCTTTCACCCTGCAAAGAAATAAATATGTCCAAATACCAACATTGAATTCCTCCTTCTCTTAGACTGGCTTCTTATGTAGCCAACTTATTATCCACACAGAAGAGGAAAGAGTCAACAGGCATTGAAGGAACCCCACAGCTGGGTGAACTGCCCTCTCTTTGTGTAAGAAAAATCTAAGTGTGCGTGTGCGTGTGCGCGTGTGTGTGTGTGGAGGGGGAGATACCCGCTGAACAGTCCAATGAGGTGAGTTTGTACACATGGAAGGCTAGCTGCTTGTTGAAGGAGAAAATGGAAAAAGCATGTTGGGAGAGGAGAATGGAGTAGCGCATCTTGGAAAAAAGCATGGCTAAAGAAGAGACAGTCTAAAAAGAAGTGCTTTAACTGCAAAAAATATTGTGACATGGCAGGTGTGTCCAAGGTTAATTTGTTGGGAAAAGAGGCCAGTATCCAATGCACAAGCTAGGCTGGGTTAGTCTAATCCACATTTGTTCTGGCAGCAGCTGTCTCATATTCACAGTAACTAAAAAGATGCTGAACACTGGAAACTGTCATTCCAAGCCAGACTACAGGCACCTGTAGTCCAGACTGATCTGACCGGCAATGGCTTAGCTGTGCCATCTCAGCCTCACAGCCTTTTCCGCCCCAATTGCCTGGGGATTTCAGAATTTATTCTTGGCCTCTCTGTGCAAAGCATGTGTTCTGCCACTGAGCTATGACTCTTGCCCTACATTATCAGTGTAAAAGAGCCACACTTCTTTTTAAGTAAAAAGAAAATGAATGGACACAAACACAGCTTTGTTTCTCTCCTTTAACCCTTGAGCTGATTCTCTCCTAGTCAAATCAATGGGGTGTGTAAACTCTGGACAGAAAGAAAGGGCATCCACACCCATAGGAAATAATTGACACAAAATGTGGCATGGACTATTGGATTGTCTTTAAAAGAGGCTTAGACAAATTCATGGAGGAGATTCTTTAGAAAGGTCGTAATACTTTTAGTTGATGCACAGCCCATCCTTCCTTGCATGAAGCACAAGGATTTTATGCTGCTTTAACGTGGTGCCCGACGCCCTCACAGCACCCAGGGCCCATGCCACTCCCGTTACTTCATTTTTGGGGGCTTTTTTAAACCAGGAAGCTGCATGGGAAGTGATGCACTTGAACACCCTCATCTTTATTTCCAAAATAGCTGCTCGTTCCAAAGGAGACAGAAGTCGTGGGTGGCTGCCGTGCATCGTTTTGAGGCAACAATGAGGAAAAGGTAAACTGAAAATGGTAGAGAGAATCCTGGTGACTGGAGAGGTGGGAGCAAGGGAAGCGTTTTCCCTCAGAGGTACTGGGGGAATCCTTCTTTAAGCATCACCACGAGCGAGTCTTTTGTTGTGCTTCGTAGGCCAAATACACGATTTGGCGTTTGGGGTCAGATCCTCTCTTTGCCTTGCACTTGGCCAAGGTACTTGCCGCTCAGCATCATCTGTTTGCTTTCTGGGAAATGGGTTCTGGAGCAGAACACTAGATTCCAAAAAGTGTGTGAAGGTCCAATTTCATCTCTGCCTCGTCCCATGTCCTGAGCAAGTTAGTTTTCTTTTAGTCTTACCCACTTGCCCTCTGAGAGATGATAGGCCTCCTGTGAAAGGAGGGTGGAGTCCGCCTCAGTACATACTGACCTGGGCTGTGTCTAAAGACAACCCATGATTTAATTAACCCACTGTTGCTGTCTTAGCCAGAGCAAACCCATCATTTGCTTGCTAGACAATCAAATCACCCACAGGCTGGTTTTACCAACTCCATGCTTTTTAAATTCTTCCTTTTTACCCACTTCCTCCCCATGTCCTGAAGGCTTTGACAGTGCCAAAGTACTATCAGGGATTGATGTATCAGCCGCATCCTCCCCCCCCCCCCCAATTCATCCATTCTGCATTCTAAACGTGTAATCCTCCAGTTGCTTCCAGACCTGCTCAAAACATCCCCATGAAAAGCTCCCCCGATCTCCGCCTGTTCACCATCCCTGTGGAAGCGCGTGAAACATGGCGTCTGTTCCTTTCTTTCTGCAAGATGGAGGAACGACAGAAGAAATGTGTCACTCACCTGCCAATACTGATCAACACTCCTCCATTTCGAGTCAATCTCCTCTCAGATTTGTTCCCCCAAAATGAATTTAAGCTTCCGCCCTACCTCCAGTCCCAAACACAGTCTTCCACTGCCGTACCCTCTCACATGTGCTGGCAGCTTGGACAAAGACAGCAGCACACATGGATTTATGTAATAATTTTAATGTTTGCTTATTCCTAGCAGTAGAAGGCAAAAGATTCTAGTCAGCTACTTAACACGGTGCAAATACTAAGCTCTGCATGGGCATCCATGTACCCCCAACAATCTATCTAGAGGGAGGCTGGGAGTATAAGTGGCCAGCACGAAAGCGGCTCCCAATATCCGTAACTGTTGGCGGAGTAATATGCAGTCCTTAACCACCAATAACATGAAGATAAATCTCCTGGACGAACTCAGCTATTGCTCTGCGAGTATGTCTCTCACACCCCAGCATGACTCTGTGCTGCGCTGGGAGTTCACTGGGCCTGGAGATGCCTGCGGGTGCCGTGATCCTATGGGGAAGACTTCTTTGTCCACCTGGGTTCCTGGAAGCTGAGGGTTATCCTCCAAGGGTGCATCCCCATGCGGCTCACAGGTGTTGTGGAGGATGCGGCAGGTGAGAATGATATCCACAGGGAGCTCTTCCTCACTATCTCAGCTTTAGCCATCCAAATGCTCTCTCCACTGCTTGTCTGGCCCTGTTGGGGAAGCAGTTGAATTCCCACCCCCAGTGAGCAGTAGGGTGCCATAAGCTATGGCTGAACCACGAAAGCCCGGTTCCCGAGGAAGAGCAGGCATGCTATCACCCCATGGGGGTGGGGGGCACTGAAGAACATGCCCACGGGAAGCTTATCTTTGGGAACTCCAAAAGACTTCCACATCATGAATTCCACTGAAGACACCCATGTAAAAATCTACCAGACTGTGGCACTCTGGACTGCTCCCTTCGGGAACATGGATGCTCATGTGGCAGGCATTAAGCGCACCACACGTCCAAGGTTAGCCCAGTTCTCCAAAATCTTGAAGGACTTTTCTTTCAGCACCCGGTGTTATGATATCCACCAGGTAGGGCTCATTCAGGACTCGCGCCAGCTCCCTGAAAGTTTCACAGGCTTTCAAAGGTGATCCTGAACAGTACATGGCCTGGTTCAAATGCCGGTTTGTACGTCTAATTGCAAGGGGTTTGTTGTTGTTGTTGTTGTTATGGGAACTACTATATGCATATCAGTATCCTGCTGCTGGATTATTATTACATTTATATCCTGCCTTTTTTTCTCTTGCAAGGAGACCAAGTTTTCATCCTCCTCCTCTCCATTTTATCTTTGGAGGAGTATATTAGGCTGAGAGTTGGTGACTGGCTCCGAATCCTCCTGGTAACTGAGCAGGGAATAGAAACTGGATCTCAGTCTCAGTCCCAGTCCCAGTGCAACACTTTAACCACTAGACCACACACTGGCAAGAGCATCAAAGATCACCCAGGACATCCTGAGCTTGCACAGAGCCTTTCGTCATCCCGTTCTTCGACCACTAAGAGCCAGGCTGCTTCTGTTCTTGGCAAGCACCGTTAACACATGAAGGTGGAGAACTTGGTGTTCAGCCACTACCACAGCGGCAACGGTTGTGCAGGCCCTTTCGGTAGCAGTGGCAGTTCTCCAACACAAGCCCAACAGTTGGCTCCTGTGCACATTAAGCAGCTGGTATTCCCAAAACAGGAGAGATGCCTCAGTTGTAAAAATGGCAATTCTACAATGCTTTAATGCTTCCGCTTCTTAAGGCTGCAGATGCCATTCAACTGAGTTGCAGTTCTTCAAAACGCATTGCAGAAGGGCAGGCGGTGACCACGTGTTTCCATCCTCTCCCATGACTTTCTTTCAGCACTTTGCTAACTGAGAAATGGCAAGGCGGGCGGGCGGGCGGGCGGGGGGGGGGGGGAACGGACCACAGTCCTGGCTGGAGGTAGCACCTGCTTTCACGCTGCAGCTTGCGTGTGCTTGCTAGGTCAGGGGGCGGCACAGGGGAAGAGCTGCGTGGAGGAATGCACGGCATGGCAAGTTACCCCTTTAGCCCTGTCACAGGAGAGGGAAACCCTGAAACATATTGCACCTAGGCGTTCTGCTCCCTGATATTATATAGTTGTGCACTACAAGCGTGACGAGGAGGTCACAACGGCACTGCCCCATCGCAAGAGCCTTCATCCTTCCTTAACCCTTGCAGCATCAGCCCAGAGGCCAGGCCGCCAGTCCTGGAAACTGTATGCTCGTGTCTGAGAAGTCTATCCGCTACAGGAAGCACAGAGTGCTCTGCTCCAGCGGCTGCTGGTGCGTTTTGCAGAAAGGACCTGCAAAGATCACGTATTGCCTCGCGTGCGCTCTGCTGATGCGGTGGGCTGAGGGAGGAGGGAAAGGAAGAAGACTGAAAAGTTTCCCGCTAAGTTTAATCCTCTTGTCCAGGTGAAACGATTCACTCAGCCCGCTACCCACACTCCAGCAGGGCGTTCCTGAGGAGCGCATCTCTTCCTCTGAAGCACCTGACTATTCTCAGAGCCACGCTTCTTCTAACTGTTACAGCAACTGTCAGACAGACTCTTGGAAAGTACACGCTCCACAAGGATAGTCTAAGCTTCAGCTCCTTTTCTTGCCACTTGGTTTTCCACTGGCCACATGTCCTCTCATACAGAGACCTTGTCTTGAGAAGCTACCTCTCCTGCCTCGCTGGGCTGCAAGAATGGAGCACCACTCTTTCTACTGTCTTGTGTCAACTTTATTAGTGTTTCTAGATAGCAATGAAGAAACTTTCAAAGAGTATGTCCGGAAAGGTTACACCGAGCATCTGTGACCTGGCGTCTTGTACTCACAGGCACCCTCTGCCCCCTGCTGGGCAGACCGAGGTCTGTATTCTTGGTCCTGCTGGCTGTGTTTTAGGTGAGGTTTTCTGGGGTGTGGATTTCAGGCTGAACCGGGCCTTGTGCTAGTGCTGGAGGATCTGCCGCCATTTCAGGGGCTTGGGGCTGCAGTGGCACTGGTGCCTCCCCCTGCTGCTGCGGGCCTGGCAGACGGAGACACGGTTCCGGGGACAGGGCAGGCACGACTGGTGGATTCTCCACGTGATGCGGCTGGTGCTCCCTGTCTGGGGGCCCAGCCAGGGGTACCTGAGCCTGTGGGTGATGGAACGTGGAGGAAGACGGGGCACCGAGGAAGGGCTGTGGGCCGTACGGGAACTGCTGGAAGGGGGCTTGGGACGGCTGTCCCGGCAACGCGGCCATCATGGCCGCCGCGAGTCTGTCTAAGACGTGCGTCTGCCTCTCGATGGCGGCCGTCCTCTCTGCCATAGCCCTTTCGAAGGCCTGGTCAGAGGCTCGCATGGACTCCCGCAGAGTCGTCGACATGAGCTCCCCGCAGTCCCGTATGCTCCGGGCAGTGTGGCGCGTGGCCCACACGGACAGCAGGTGGTCCCGCGCCCTCCGCTGAGACTCCTTGGCGTCCAGCTCCTGCAGGACCTCGCAGGTGTGCTCCCCCGTGATCTCGATGGCCCGCACCAAGTCCCTCGCGAGCTGCACGCGGTCGGTCTTGCGCCGGTTCCTCAGCCGGGCAGCTCTCTGCGCGTTAGTCAGCGACCCCTCGGGCTCCACTCTCTCCATGGGGGTTTTTTCCAGGGGTTTGCACTGGGCTTTCAGAGTGCTCGTTTCTCGGTCCATCCCCTTGAGCCGCTCCTCCTCCTCCCGTCGCTCTGCAGGGTTTCAAGGGGGGGGGGTTGAACACTGGTGTCAATTCACAGGCCGCTCGGTTGGCATGTGGATATCTCTTATTACAATTATTTTATCATGACACTTCTAGGTGTTTCTAATTAACAAGTAGGATGCCATAAAGGCCACGCTCTAGCTACATTTTTAAACTCGACTTTTAGTGAACAGCTTGCTCAGCACAGGCTGCCAAAGACTTTTAAATAGTTTAATGCATGCTAATTCACATTTACAAAGCCTGTAACTAGGACACTTATCAGCTCCCAACGAAGCACTGCTTCCCCCACTCATAAAGGGGTTTCCAAGGCAACTGCCCCATGCCGAAGCAGCAGCATCGCGACTTACCAGTGGCTTCTGCATACTGGGAACGGTCCTGCTCTCTTGACCCTGGTGGGAACCCCAGCAAAGCTGAGCCACTCCGCTCCTCAAACAGATGAGCCAAGGCCGATTCGATCAGGGGCGCCTCGTCCATACCACGTCCTTCCTGTTTTTTTGTTTCGGGTAGAATAATACTGTCATTTAGTAACTCCTCTTCGGCAGGCGGCTCCCCCGTTCGGGCCAGAGAGCGCATGATGACGTCATCCACATCTGTAAGGAAACGCTCCTGCTCCTTGGCCTGGGACAGCTGTGTCGGGACTCTCTCGAGCACGGAGGACTCCGGCAGGAGGGAGGAATTCACTTCCATGATCGCCTCCGTGGCCAGATCGACTTCCGACAGTATTGTCTGAGGAAAACTGTTCCACGCTGCACTGCGCGATTCCTGCTCGGCCTCCTGTGCTGGGGAGCAGGTGGGGGAAGAACGAGAGCTGGTCACCAGGGCCCGCGACCGCACGCCCAGGTGCTCCTGTGTGGTCTGAAATACCGTGGGACTACTCGTCCGAGAGGAGAGGGTTGGGCTGCTAGTCCTTGATGCAGGCTGAGTCCTCTGCACTGCCAAAAGCGATGGGCTTCCTGAGCGTGCAGTGCGGTCTCGTTTGGCCCGAATGAGATCCTGAGAATGTGAGGGTTGGCACTCTTGCTCCGTCTCCATGCGTGGCAGCTTGGTGGGAGGGGCAGCGCTGGACACGGAGGAGATGGCTGCTGATGATGCGGAAATACTGGTGTTCGCGGAGGATGGCCTGGACAGAGACAGGGCTCTGCATCCCGTCCCGCCAAGAGGTTGGTGGGACTGCGGTGGAGGCAGCTGGCTGGCGCAGACTCTCCGGGAGGAATCTGGACTGGGAGAGAAGTCCCTCTGGGACAAAAGGCTCACCTGCTTGGCGTGATGCTTAACTCGCAGCTGATGAGCCGCTGGGATGCCGCCGCTGGCTGCGTATCCCGTCGTCATGTTCTTCTTGTTCAGCAGTATGGTAGCCAGCTTGTCATAGAAGGGCATGGTGCGCGGTTCCACGCCTGGCTGTTTGTTGTGGGCTGTCACCTCTTTGAACTTCTTTTTGAGCCCGTTGATCTTCTCCCGGCACTGCGCGGGGCTGCGTGTGAAGCCCTGGGCTGCCATTTCTTCCGAGATCCACGTGTACACGCTTTCGTTCCTGTAATTCCTTTGCAGGGTCTGCTGCGCCTCTGGACTGATCCACAGGTCGATGAACAGCCCCAGCTCGCGATGAGACCAAAATTTTGCACGTATTCTCTGCGAGTCCGGAGTGCCGTTCACTCGGGAATGCACCTGCGATTGCTGTGTCCCCGTCCGTGGGGCAGGCTGGGGGGCAGGCTCATCTGTGGCAGGGAACAGTGAGGAAGAATGAGGAGAAAAGGCCTCCTGGAAAGCCTCCTCGACCATCCTAGGTTCTGCGGGGTGAGGACATTTCCCAGTCATCGTGTGTTCCAGGCAGGTCCAGTCAGTTCAGACAAGCCTGGCAGCTCACCATGAGAAGCAGTGATGGAGGACCAGTGGGAAGTCAGCCACCAGTTCCTCACTGTACTTTCCCCCCACCCGACTCCCACCACGCAGAAGGAGGGAGCAGGGAAATTCCTTGGAAAAGGGTCCCCCCCCCCCAACAAATTTTTACAGGCATGTTTCCTGCAGGTCTTCAAGGAAGTGTAGAGTTCTGGTACACAAGAAACTGACAATTTGGGGGTGTTCTCGGTGGGGACTTTGTGAGCGGGAGTGATGCTTAATTTGGGTGATGGGCGAAACTCACTTGGGGGAGGTTTTGGGGTGGCTGGAGAGTACCTTTCGCAGATAAATGCAGGCACTTTTCTGAAGGCAGCTGGTGAGCAATTGGAGAAGTGGGAAAACTGTTTGTTTTGGAGGGAGAAAAGGGATTCAGCAGCAGCAGTGTTAAGGTTGGTACACAATGGACTTGTGTCAAAGCACAGCACGTGTCAAAGACAATTCAGGATGGCATAGCAACAGAGAGAAGCATCTCAAAGGACAGTAAGCAGAGGTAAGTGCCAGGCAGTTAATGCAACCCAAACCATCACGGGACCAGCATCACCAGCAGGCCAATTATCTGCACCTGGTGTGCGCGTATGTGTGTGTACTTCTAAACTGCCACATAATTATCAAGGCATCACTTAGTACATGCAATAAAGCAGCAAAACCACCCAACTGTTATCACAGGCAGTGCTGGGCTGCAGAACGCTGTTGGTGGAACACCCTCGCTGCTGTTGCCAGGGAAAGGGGCTGGCAAGAACGTGTGGTTGCTTTTGTTTTGCTTTTTATTTCACTCACCTGTTGACTTTGTAGCCTGGCAAAACAACCCTATGACCTGGCTTTGCACATCACAACTGAGGGCTGTTAACACAACTGAGGGCTGAAAGCCAGAGTTCACAACCTAGCAATTAACCGTGGATGGGATGTTTGTGATTAACAACCCCTAACTGGATAAAGCTATGGCTTGGCTCATACTGAACAACCAAGAATGAGATACTGTAGTATAGAGAGGTTTTCACTGAACTGGTGCTCTCCAGGTGTATTGCGGACCTCAGTGCCAATCATTCCCTAGCCAGCACAAAAACGCAGGCTTGGGGTTGATGCCTGTTATAGACCATCGCAGCATTTGGGGGCAGAAGGATTTGGGGGCAGAAGGATGATAGAAGACTATAAAGATATGGAACTCAGTCCTAGTTAATTCATCTGGTTTTTCAGAAATGACCTGCCTACCCTCCATTCCCTTTTCCTTTCCTTTCCTTAGGACTTTTTGGCAAAAAAGAAAAAAAAAAAAAAAAAGTAGTATAGAAACATTAACAGGAGGAGATGTAAGCTGCCTTGAGCTCTTTGTAGGAAAAAGGCAGGATATAAATCGAAAAATAAATAAATAAAAATTAATAGCAGGAAAATATTAAACATGACTTTTACCTTTAGCTTGTGAATCTCTGCATATTCCCTGTGGTTTTTCTACCTTTTGAACAGTACCTAGAAAGTACAGAAGCATTATTAATAATAACAATAGCAACAACCACCAACCTGAGCATTTGAAGTGAAAAATCTATGATGAGATTTGGGGAGCTTCTTCTAGTTAACATATCATTTAGAGCAGGGATGGTGACCCACCAGAGCAGAGGTGCAGTCTGACCCTTTGTGTCCTGACGCTGCATGCAGTAGTTTAGGCTCCCTCCCTTGTCCCAGCCTGAGGGCTGCGGAAGGGAAGAGGCATCCCCGTGGTTCGCACTGATCGAAGTTAAATAGTGTTAAATATCCGCAGCCAGAGAGCAATGGGCAATTCCCTTTATTTGGCATGGAATTCATCCTCCCAACTGGCCAGCTTCAATCTGCCTGGCTTTTCTCTAACTACGGAAAGCCTGGACAGAGCACAGCCAAGCCTGACAGTCCCCTCCACTCCCAGGTCTCCGCTTTGTCAGCCCCGAATGCACCGGAATGCGTGGCTTTGGTGGCTACAGGTCTTCTCAGCAATGCCAGGCCCCTGGCTGATCAGCGTCTGGAGGAGCCCCGGGACCAAATGATGGCGAGGAAAGGACCCTGCCGCTTGATGTCATGCAGTCCAGGGAGGACTGAGTGCATTCTGACATCCCCTCTTCCATAAAATGGAGCCACCCACTCTTGATTTCAGGCTGGATATAGTATTAAACCAGAAAAGATTATTCTCCCCTTCTGATATCCTCCTCATCCCCAACACTTACCTTGATTGTTCGATGGGACAGATAAGGAGAGCAGTACATAGTTGATTGGTTGTGCAGACATAAGGACACCTGTCACCAAAGATGAGATGCAGAATTGTGACAAATGCAACTTTCCTCCAGCAACCTACCGGGTCATGTCTCTGAGCAAGGGACACGTGCAAACATACGTTGCTACCATGCCTTACTTTATATCTGAGGCCTGACTCACCTCTCTGCTGTCATCTTATGCCTTGATGCTAAGTATTGGCAGGAATCACCCAAAGGAAGCACGATCTCAGCCTACTTATTGGTCTGTCTGATTTCCGATCCCTCTCTGTAAACCGCCTATCCTCCACATTTGCAAATTTATTTGCAAAATCTTCACCTGTCTAGAGTTGCTGGCTAAGCTACGTTCTCAAGTCCTAGGCAGGTCTTTTCCGCTTACATGCTGCCAAAGTAGTTTAGAGAAAAAGAGAGAAGGAAATCAGCCACATAAGGATCTCACAGCGTGCTTCCAGTGAACTCAGAAGTCATTAGTATATAGTCACACAGTTGTCTAGAAAATACAGGACAAGATGCACCCCTATTTCCCCCTTACCAAATGAGGTTTATTGACCCAGTTAAAAACAGAAGATGAACTATGCTTGGCCAGGGCTAAAGTCCATCCCATCCAGCGTTCTGATCACACAGTGGCCCACCGGATCCTCCAATGGTGAGCTCACAAGCAGGACACCAGTGCAAAAGGGCGCCTTCCTTTCCTATTTCCCAGGTCTCCCACAAGTCTGCTTCATGGGATGCACAATCCTCTATTTGTACAATGCACTATGAAACTGAGAGTTTGATTTTCAAATCCTTTCCTAATGGTTTCCAAAAAGGAACGTGAAGTTTTTCACAGCAGCAGCAGCAGCAGCAGCAGCAGCAGCACAGTGGACCAATGTTTTCATCGGACTGTCCACCACAACCTCCGATCTCCTTCTCACATCTGGTCCAGAAAATATGCGAAAGGCGAGCCGTTTGCCGCAGTCTCCGTCGCCTTCACACTCACTCACACTGAACTGCACCTGTCATTCAATGCCCATCCCTGTGCTTGGCAGGGATCCTTCCAGAGCTCTTTACTGCCTCTCGCTCTTATTCTCCAGAAATCTCCCCCCAGCTCCAAAATAATGAAGGGATGCAGTGCAGGAAAGAAAAACCAACTTCTCCCTTCTCCCCAGTCCTGGAGCCTCCTCTTCTGTGAGGCCAAAATAAAACTAAAAAATATTTTAAAAAATAAAAATAATAAGCTCTTATTCCAGGTTGGCTGGAATCCTGAACTGAAGCATCCCTCTTAGGGACTGCGACATGTTACTGCAAAGTCCTACTTTTGCTGCTCTGCTGTTCCTTCAGTAAACATTTTCCAAGTCCACGATGCTACTTCTGAGAATGCGCAAATCTGGCACGCGTCTCAGATGAGCAAACAGTGTATCTACAAACAATTTGCAAGCCAAAAGCTTTGCAAACCAAACCGGAGCTTCCGAATGGATGTCTGGTGCATCCCAACTTAGAGGAACGCCATCTGTTACCTGAGCAGGGGGCACCAACAGCCTGGTTCATTCCAGATCCGTCATGAGCAGGGGAGACGGCACCTTCCCATTTTTCCATCTTTACCATCACATCAGGAAACCCTAATAAGCAGAGACAGGTAAGAAGAGGTCATTGTTGGCAGCTTAGTTACACTGAAATCTCAGGTTTTCCTGCCAGACCTCATGGTTTTCAAATCAGATGTTTTCTCCTTTGCCTCACCAGAGTTGTGATCTGGAGTGCCATTTTCTTCCATGTTCTTTTGCTCCAGAATCAAATTCTCTTCCCCTCGCTTAGTCTTGCAGCTCAAGTCAGGCTTGAGATTGGGAAATCCTGTTAGGTGCCAAAGAAGGTGATTTCTTTTAATGGGCTTGAAAGAAATATTTGCAATACTCTTCAAGGCTATTCCTTTGAGCCCTTGCACATGTGTGTGTGAGAGTGTTTGTTGGACCTCACAGAGAACTAGGGCTAAAAAACGACCTTGTGTTCTTGGTCTGGAAGGTTCCTACAAACTAGACGGTAGTTTGCAGGGAACAGCAATCAGTGTTCATAGGTTGCTGATGCACATCAGAAAGAGTCTGCATACACTGTCCAGCCTTGAAAATCAGGGGCTGATTAACCCATGATCTGCTGCTATCCTGTATGACCGATGCCAATATTGGGGTCTGGTCACTGTCCCCCTAGCTGGCTCTTGTCTGCAGTGGTGTCATGCACAGCATAACACCCCCAAACGACAACCTTGTCCTTTAGGGAGAGTGCAGCCCCATTCAAAACAGGCTGACTGTCTGCCAACGGAACAGATGATCCACCCACCAACAGAACCGTCACTTGAGTCACAAGGTGGCACGGAGCAATTGTTCCCAGCTTAGGCTGATATACCAACTATGACCCTGTCTGGACAGATGGAACCTGGCTACAGTAATCCACGCTCGGATTACTGTAATATGCTCTATTGGAAAATGGTCCAGAAACTTCAATTGATTCAAAACAGGGCAGTGTGGTTGTTTTCGAAAACTGACCTATGAGATCATAGTGCACCAGTCGTCTTTCAGCAGCACTGGTTATCAGTTGAAGTTTGGGCCCAATTCAAAATGCTAGCATTAACATTTAAAGCCCTAAATGGCTTGGGGTCAGATTATCTGAAAGAGGGCTGCACCCTGCGTGTACCTACTCAGGCCCGAAGATCATCTTTTGGGATGGAGGGTGGTTGAAGCCCCATAAATGAAGGTGCTTACTGGACATGCACATGGAAGACTGGAGCCAGGGGTCAGACTAGATGATCCGAGAGCCCCCTTCTGACTCACTCTGTTTCTATGATTCTCAGGGAGCCCCCTCCAAAGGAAGGAGGGTGGCAACCAGGAGAAGGACCTTGTCAATTGTGGCACCCCATCTATGGAATGAGCTCCCCAAAGACACACACCCAGCACCTACTCCTTTTTCTTTTTGGTGCCAGGTAAAAACCTTTTTAGTTTCCAGGTATTTTAACAATTTAACCTTTTAGTTTTAATATTATGGTAATATTTTATCATATATTGCTGCTGTACCTATGTGCCAACTCGATAACAGTTGCTTTATTATTGCTATTGTTGCAATTTATTGGCTGTATTATTCTATTGTCTTATTCTGATATGGTGCTTCTATTCCTTTTGTGTATGTTTTTAACTTTCTTAACCACCTAGAGAGCATTTTGGCTATTGGGCGGTAGAAAAATGTGAAGAAATAAATAATAGCACATACTGTTTTCAAGCACCTTCTTGGCCTTTGAGTCCCACCGTGCACGTTTTTTCTCCTCCAGTAAATTGGAGGAGGCCACATCAAGTACCCAACAGACCCAGCTCTCTAGTCTACAGACCATCCAAAATTTGTTCTCCTTTAAGGGTCCACAAAAAATATTTTTGCAGCAATAAATTAACAAAGCTGGCTCTCTGGAATTCTGGGAAGCAGTGAGAAAGTCTGCAACAGATTCTGAATGAATTATCCTTGCACCCAATGTTTTGAATGCATCCTTCACCTGAATGGGCAGTTGGGGGGATGCTGTTTTCTTCAGGAACATGATGATCTACTGCCCACAGTTCCTCCTCTTCTTTCACCTTTATCTTTATGTCAGGGAGCCCTGATGAAGAGAAAGATGTCACAAGATGAAGCAGGGACAGATACTCCAATCTCAAGAGGCTGGCAGTGAATTTCTGCTCAATTCTATGCAAAACTCAGTGCTGCTTTGGCCAATATACTAATGATCTCTCCAAGCTGGATATTCATGTCCAAAAACAGATGAAGACAAAAAAATGGAAAAGATACTCCACATTACACAAGCAAATTCAGATGATATTCAGCCAGTTAAACTTACTATTCCCCTTATCATGAAATATTTCATGTGAGTTCCTCTGGCATTACACTAGTCTTGTGAGATAGACCATTTGTTCAACTGACTCAATGTTCAGTCCTGGCTACTCTGTGTATCTGTGTGTGATTTTTTAAAAGTGCGTCTGACAACTAATTTTGAATTAATTCTTAAGGTGTCCTGATTTAGCTGAGTGAGAATCTAGAAAGGTCTCATACCTAAGTTACCATGTGCGAAGGTCTCGATTTCCTCCGAGTTCAGATTATTTGGTACCCATGATTTTTCTTCCTCTTCCTCTTTTACTTTTACTGTCATAGTAGGATACCCTGATCAAGACAAGGACATAAGGAGAGAAGACAATGTGCTGGATGTTGACCAACATCTAGAAATACCAGAGGTTGCCCAGTATCTATATACCTGTTCTGAAAGAGTTGAAGTCTCAGTTCTCTTGCCTTGAAAAAATGCCACTGATCCATAGTTAACAGTTATATTTCCTATTTTTCAGAATATATGCAGTTTCTTAGACCCATATAGCACTTCTGTGCCCTGCCATGAGACCTGCGCTATTCCTTGTACATTCCCTTCATTTTTAGAGCTTTAAAGCTGTGAAGAGACGATGAGTGACTGGGGTCCACATGTTCTACAAGTGCGTTTTAAAGGGCAAAATAAAATCACTATATAACAATATTTTGCAAGTCCCTTATAAAATCACTATACAACAATATTTTGCAAGTCTCACTTCCTTATCTATAATGACAGATTCTCTGAGCATCTCTTCCTTACCTGAGTGAGCCTCTGGGGAAATCTTGTTCTCCAGTCTGTGAAGATCTAGAGTTTGACATTCCCTCTCTTGTTCCATCCTATCTGGAACCTCTGATCAGGGCAGTAAAACCAGAAACAGTTCACAGGAGAGAGATTTGGACTATCTGGGGTAGCAGAAGGAACAGTTTGTTTGCATACAAATTGAAGAATGTTGCTTTTAAAAAACGGTTTTAGATTTAATTTTTCTGTTCTCTCACCCAAGCTATGTTTTGATGTGATCTTTCCTTCCTCCGGTGCTCAGGGGTCAGGGATCCAGTAGTATTAAACCTGAAAGAACAAGCTTGTTCTTTGAATTAAGAAAATGTACTTGAGGGCAAAACCCAGCAGAAACCTATGAAATGGAGCACATGAGTTACACTGTGCACAATAAGTATCTTGGGTATACAAGGTACAGTGAAAGTACTCTTTTAACCTTATCATTAGATAAGACCTAATTTTCTAAGAAATCTCTAGTCTGGTAGCTGGTTATGCTCAGAAGCTATCCTAAACCAGACTTTTCAGGCAGAACTACTGAAGTATGATTAACTGGTTAAATTCAATACCTATATATATTTTCATACCTCCTACACATTGACATTCACTGCAGTGGTGTTGGAATTAGGAGGGCAAGACTGGGACTCAGGCGATCTGGGTTCTAGTCCCTGCTCAGCCATGGAGTCAACTGGGTGACTTTGGGCCAGTCACAGACTCTCAGCCCAACCTACCTCACAGGGTTGTTGCTGTGGGGATAAGATGGAGAGTAGGAGAAAAATTATGTATGCTGGTTTGAGTGCTTTGTAAAAAAAGGTGGCATATAAAACTAATGAATAATAATAATTCACTGTCTCTTTCTAGCAGAAGAAGAACCACAAAGGTGAAAACTCTAGGAAGTGCCAGTCACTAAATTTTCTAAACTTTCTTTGAAATCACTGAATCCTTCAAAAGAAAAAAAGGCATACTGGGAAGGCAATCCCTATGCAAAAGGAAGATGCCCAGCTTATTTATTTATTCATTTACAATATCTGTATATTGCTACATATTCAAGGAGATCCACAGCTGTAAACACGACAAAGTTAAACAAGTAAAAGTATAAAAACAATATGTGTAAACTCATTAAAAACAATGTAACAGCAAAACCACAGCTGGTCAGCAAGAAAGGGCTTCCCAGAGCAAGGTTGTTTTTAGCAGCACTGAAAACAGCACAAGGTTAGTTCTTGACCTCCCAAAACAGGGAATTCCACAGAAATGGGGCCACTGCACTGAAGGCTCTTCTCCTGGTGGATCCAGCAGGGTCATAGTTCAGTGCGGAAGCACCAGAAAAAACTCCTCTGATGACCCCCATGACCAGGGAGGTTGGTAAGAACGAAGGCACTCTCTTCCAAGTTGATCCAGGGTTTGTATACTGGTACTAAAACTTGAAAGCTGGCCCAGCAGAGAAGAGGTAGCCAGTGCAGGTCCTTCACCAAGGGTGTTGTATGAGGAAAAGAGGAGCCTTGTAACAGCTAAGCTGCTGCCTTCTGCGCAGACTCCGGCTTCTGGAGCAGCCTTAAGGGCAGCCCCACAAACAGCACGTGGCTGAAATCCAGTCTTGAGGTTAACAGCACAGGTTTCACCATGGCCAAGCTACCCTTGTCCAGGAGAAGTGGCAAATCAATTGGAGGTACTCAGAGTCACTGCAGCTACTTCGGATTCCCCTGACAGCACTGGGTAGAGAAATAGTCCCAGACTACAAACTTGGTCTTTCAAAGGAAGCTCAGTCCCATCCAGAACAGGCAGTGAACCTATCTCCTGGACTCAGGAAACATTCACCCACAGGACTTCTGTCCTGCCAAGATTTAGCTTGTTTATTGGCCCTCATCCAGCCTATCACCAAGTTCAAGCATCCATCTAGGACTTACACAGCCTCTCCTTAAAGAAGTACAGGGAATGATAATCAGGTTTACAGATGATACCAAACTGGGTGGAATAACAAACACCCTGGAGGACAGAATGAAGATCCAGGGCAATCTTGATAAGCTTGAACGCTGAGCTGAAAGCAACAGAATGAGATTCAATAGGGACAAATGCCAAGTCCTCCACCTAGGGAAAAGAAACCAAAGGCATCGATACAAGATGGGGAATGTGTGACTCAACAGAACTGAAAAAGAAAAAGCCCTTGGAGTTTATTGTGGACAACAGGCTAAACATGAGCCAACAATGCGATGTAGCTGCAAAAAGGGCAAATACTATTTCGGGGTGCATTAAGAGAAGTATTACTTCCAAATCATGAGCAGTAATACTTTCCCAATACTCTTTGCCAGTCAGACCTCATCTGAAATATTGTGTCCAGTTTTGGGCACCAAGATTTAAGAAAGATGCAAAGACACTAGAGGAGGGCAAGAAAAATGATCCAGGATTTGCAAACACTGCCCTGTGAGGAGAGACTGAGAGAACTGGGCATGTTCAGTCTTGAGAAGAGAAGACTGAGGAGGGACATGATAGCACTCTATAAGTACCTCAAAGGCTGTCACAAAGAGGCAGGTCAAGATCTCTTCTTGCTCGTACTAGAGTGTAGGACACAGAATAATCAGCTCGAGTTGTGACAACCCAGATTCAGGCTAGACACCTGGAAGTTTCCTCACTGCCAGAGCAATACGACAGGGGAACCAGCTGCCTGGAGAGGTGGTGGGCTCTCCCACCCTAAAGACATTCAAAAAGAAACTGGATGGACATCTGAGTGGAATGGTGTGAACTGGTGTCCTACAACAAATGGGGGTTGGACCTGATGGCCTTCATGCCCCCCTTCAACTCTACTATTCTATGATTCCTACACAGTTGTCACAGGAAGACAGTGCGGTTTGTCACCAGTGAGGACACTTGCATCCAGAACCCCAGTGGCCATTCCCATTCGGAATGGCCGCTGGGGTCCATAGAGATATTAAACAGCATTGGAAATGGTAATGCGGCAGTATCTGAAACTCCCATGGCCAAACTGCAAGGAGTCCAAGGAACAGTCACCCAATGTTACTCTCTAAAATTGACCCTACATGAACTGGAACCCCTGTAATGCTGTCCTGAATGCTGAACCCTTGGAGTTGATCCAAGAGGGCTGTACACTTCCCAGAGAGCCCTGAAGTGCTAAGAAAGTGGCTTATAAATGCAATAAATAAACACACTTGCCTATGTCCCTCTCCTGATAAATGTCGTTCAAGTTTGATTCAGTCCCATAACCAAGTTGAAACCCAGAATGAAATAGGGGTCTGGATCATCAGTATCCTGAATCTGATCTCACAAAATCAGGCAAATGACAACATCAGGTACTCTGACTGGAGCTGTGTCAAGTTCATTGTGGGGAGAAGTGATTTTGTCCTCAAAGTGTGATGCAAAAAGGTCTTTGAGGGGCCCCGAGACCCATTTGCTGGAGAGAATGTTAACGGCCCCTGGACTGCCTGGAGGAGCTCCACTGGATGCAATGGACCACTGCCTAATTGGCACAATTATGTACTCTGGAGCATGTTTCACCCTCTTTACTTTGAGCCATTCACCATTTGCACTCCAGCGGATGTCCAGTCTGTTCCATCAACTGCAGCTCCCATGCATTCCACGGCATACAGCTGGAGAGGGCACACTTGTGTAATTGCGTCTACGGCTCTCTGAATCGTACTGTTGCACAGTGAAACTAGGATCTTGGCTATTTCACCATCTCTGTCCACTGGGAAGTCCTCAAGAGCATTCAGGAATTTATTAGATTCCGTCAGTCTCCCGGGATGGACCATCCAAACAGACCACCTACTTCGTCAGGGAGGAAGTAATGCTGTAAGTTCATGCTTCACTAGGTCATGATGTTACCTCACTAGTGGGATAACTTGCAACCCTACCCCCCAGTTTTCAGACATGGAAAGAAGACCAAGTCAAGGGTATGCTTGGTAGGATCTTGACTTGTAAACTGTGGAAACATGTTTATGTTTCCACATGTTATGAGGATGGGCCCTATAAAGTCCAGCCAATGGACAGTAATCGCAAATAGCATCTAGCTTTACAATATGTGTGTGTGTGCTGGTGGGGGGGAAGAATCAAGAGTGATTCGTTTCTCCTTTCATCCAATGTCAGTGCTTAGTTATTTCTGGATTTTTTTGTGGAGGAGGCACTTGATTATTTCCACTTGTGAAGTAAAGTGGAACTTTGAAACTTGTACTTTGAAAAGTTCAAATCTGTACACTTATACTTCTTTTTGCTAATCTGAAATTCCTACCTTGAGCTGTGCTGTTCAGTAGACACCTCTTTGAGGAAATTTTACAAAGTCTCTCTGGATTCTCAGAAACATACCTGTGCTCCGAATATTAGAGTGAGGGGAAGAAATGAAAGGAGCATTTAAAGGGTTATTGCAAGTTGCTCTAATTTGGAGATTAGGCTTGTAGAGTGGTTATTGGTGGCAAAGAAAAAAGGAATGTATTAATTTTGAAAGCAAAAGGACAGGAGAAGAGCAATCTTCTTCACAGATGAACTAGTCAGAGCTGGGCAAAGACATTTTGCTCTCTCAGGTAAAGTAGCAAATTATGTTCCTCCTCCTATTAAAAGGCTAGTCAAGTTATTTTCTTTTCAGAGGCTAGAGGTCTCAGAAACTACTGTCTCTCTCCCTACTACTAAAGACACTGGCCTACTCTCGGTGGCACATGGGTTATTTAACCTGTGATAAGCCACCATTTAACATATGCAATCCCCTGAACCTCAGTTCCTGTCATCCAAACCTGACTGCTATGAGTTAATCCTCACATAAGTCTTGGCTTGTTGAAAGGTTATGCAAGATCTGTTTATTCTATGAATTGTTTAATTATCATATTACTCCTGATGACTTAGTTCAAACCACATAGCAACCCCCAGCTGGAGATCATATATTCAAAAGGAGGCCAGCACAAGCTACTGCTCCTTGGAGGTTGATTAACCCAGGATGGGCTGCCATGTCATGCAAACCAATCCTCTGTGACTCAGTTTGTAGGAAATGTTTAACCTATGATTTGCAGGGAACAGTGGAAGTGAACAAGCTGCCTCCCACACACTCAGCTCCTGGTTTTGTAAACATACCAGGAAGAGTGCATTCCTAGGTTGCTGTTGTGCCATGCCGATTCAGTAGTCTGTAATGCCTTGTGCTAAACAACCCAGAATGTTAACCCACCCACAAATCATGGGCCAAAAGCCATGCAATTGGTGGGCTGAAAAGAAAAATTGAACTGTGGTGTGTGGACAGAAGATAGCAAGGGTATGGAATGCTTTGCTGAGCCCCTTTCAGCTTACAGGATGGTGAAGGAAAGCATGGCTTGGTCCTAATAGGTCCTATACCTATTAGGCGAGTGCACACCAATATTCTGTTGCATGTTCCAATTATTATTTAGGTAAAATCCACTTTAATTTACTAAAGCAGTTAGTATCCATTCAGTGCTGCTGCTCCTACTATAACATCAGTTTGTGTTGCATTTTAATATAATTTAATAAACTGCCTTGAGCTTCAATCTGGTAAAAGGGTGAAGCAAACTTTTGAAAAAAATGAAGGGAAATTGGGTCGTGTGTGTGTACATATGCGTGTGTGTGTGCATATATACAAATGTGTTTTAACGACAAGAAGGAGCAAAGATAGAAAATCTCTGGAGGAGAAATCCTCAGAAGAATTGAAAAAGTGAAAAATGATTTTTTTTAAACGAAGCCGATTTCAGCGGGTCTAAAGAGCCGCACTTCTACACACAGTTGCTCACGTGTAAGCCTAACAGAACCGTGTGGGGCTGCCATCGCAGACTTATCTGTTACATTTCTAGCCTCCTTCTCCTCCGTGGAGCTCAAAGCTGCTAATCCCCTCCTTTCCCCCTCAAAATAATCCTACCAGGTAGGCTCGGCTCCGAAAGCGCAAACACGTATGTGACTCAAGGTCGCACGGCGCGGGCTTCATGTGGGAACGTGCGGGGGCTTGAGCCGCGGTCTGCCCCCGTGCTCGGCTCAACCGCCTGATCCCGCCTGGCGTGAGGAGAGTTCAAGGCACGTTTGACGGGCCGTCGGAGGGCAGGATGGGCTCAGCTCCACTCTACGCTGGGCTAGGCTGGCGCTGCACCTCTGCCCGCGATCGGCCCGGGGCAGCCCCGGGAGGACCCCTCTCCTCCCCCACGCCCTGAAAAGCCACACTCACCACGAATCCTTCCAGATCTTCCCACCTTTCTTTGCTTAACCGATCCCTCCGATCCTCTTCCTCTGTTTGGCCGCGCCAGAAATTCTCACTGCATCTCCCCGATCACACAATTACGACTTCCAAGATGGAGAGAGGGCGAGCGAGTTTTAAAAACAAACCGAGACCCCGCGCACCTACTCCTTTCCTCCTTCCTCTTTTATATATCGTTACACGGAGAAGGCTTTGCGGCTTGTTCTTTGTTTTTCCCCTTCCCACCCTGCGATCCGTGCAAGACAAAAACTCTTTTGCAATGCAATCCTCCAAAGCCAAACCCTCCCATTCGGCCACCTGAGCGCATGGATGGAACAAGGGTCGATGCGCTCGGCTGTCGATTGCTCCCGGCTGGAAATTCAGCGCCTGCCGGGGCGGAACTCTTGCGAGGGGGCGGGGCGAGGGGAGGGGGAGGGGAGCCGCTTTGTTATTTCTCCCACGTAAACGCGGAGGAGGGGCTGCTCGGCTGCTGCGGGAGGCTCGTGCCTCCTTCGCCGGGAGTAAGCCCGTCGGACTGAACGAGGCTTACTTCCGAGTAAAGCAACACGGGATCCGGCCGCAGGTCTTTTTGCTTTTGCCTGCTTTTTCTTGCTTCCTCTCCGAGGGGGACTTTGGGCCAACCTGCTGTTTCCCCCGTTCCCGGTGGATTAGAGCATAAAATGAGGGGGGACCGGACGCTGCCGTGAACTAGTTGG